AATAATAATAATAATAATAATAATAATAATAATAATAATAATAATAACAATAACAATAATAATAATAATAATAATAACAATAACAATAACAATAATAATAACAATAACAATAATAACAATAATAACAATAACAATAGGAGGAGGAGGAGGAAGGGGAAGAGGAAGGAGAAGAAGAAGAAGAAGAAGAAGAGAGAAGAAGAAGAAGAAGAAGAAGAAGAAGAAGAAGAGGAGGAGGAGGAGGAGGAGGAGGAGGAGGAGGAGGAGGAGGAGGGGGAGAAGAGGAAGAGGAGGAAGGGAAAGAAGAAGAGGAGGAGGAAGGGGAAGAAGAGGAAGAGGAAGAGGAGGAAGGTGAAGAGGAGGAGGAGGAGGAAGGGGAAGGGGAAGAAGAGGAAGAGGAAGAGGAAGAGGAAGAAGAGGAAGAAGAAGAAGAAGAAGAAGAAGAAGAAGAAGAAGAAGAAGAAGAAGAAGAAGAAGAAGAGGAGGAGGAGGAGAAGGAAGAAGAAGAAGAAGAAGAAGAAGAAGAAGAAGAAGAAGAAGAAGAAGAAGAAGAAGAAGAAGAAGATGATTTGTACCTTGGGGTTGAAATGAGGGGACCAGGGTGCTCTCTGAGATGGGTGGGTTTTTTGCAGACGTCTCAACCCCCAACTAGGTGGCATCATCTGTTCTAGGAGGATGTGGGATTTGCTCTCTGTCCCACCACCTCCTAGCACTGATGTTACCTAGTTGGTTGTGAAACATCTGCAAGAAAACCATCAAGCTCAGAGAGCACTAAGGATACCACAGTCATCTTCTTCCTCTTCTTTCTCCTCCTCCTCTCCTTCCTCTTCTTCTTTTTCTTCTTCCTCCTTCCTCCTTTTTCCTCCTCCTTCCTCGTTCTTCCTCCACCACCTCCTCTCCTCCTTTTCTTCCTCCTCCTCTTCCCTCCTTCCTCCCTTCCTCCCTCCTCCCTCCTCCTCCTCTTCTTCTTACTTCCTCTTTCCTCCTCCTCCTCCTTCTTCTTTCCTCCTTCTTCCTCCACCACCACCTCCTCTTCCTCCTCCTCCTCCTTCTATCACCAGACCACGGTGAGTTCTAGTCCCACCTTAGGCATGAAAGCTGGCTGGGTGACCCTCGCTCAATCACTCTCTCTTGGCCCAACCCACCTCACAGGGTTGTTGTTGTGAGAAAAACGGGAGAAGGAAGGAGTATTGTATATGTTTGCTGCCTTGAGTTACTTATAAAGCAATAAAGGCGGGGCAAAAAAAATCTAATACATAAATTAATAGCATACATTTCAAAAGTGTCTGCTGGAAAAAAGAGTATGGGGTGACTTGATGCTACAAATACATTTCATTGACATGTGGCTTTCAAAGGGGATTATATAAACAAGTGTAGCCCTTCTATTGAAAATAGTTCTTCACCATTGTTCTAAAAATACATAAAGACTATCTGTGGGAGTTGTGTTATACTTAAAAGGTAAACCAGCAGCTCCTTACTTTCAATGATTTATCAATGGTGGGAAGCGAAGGGGCTATAAACAGAAGCCAAAGGTTAAGAGCTTTGGAGTTAAATCAAGATACAAGGCCCTAAGATCCAGTCCCTTCACAAGACAGCTTACGATTGCAAACCGTGCAGGATATGTGTGAGTCTGATGAACGCACTAGCTGTACTCAAAGTAGTGCAAAATAAACACATTAGATCTGGATGTTTACATGAGTAAGGTCTAACAGAACAGCTGAGAATTTTCACTAACAACATTCCTGGGTTTTGTCACTGCGCAAATAAATCTACATTACAGAAACATGAATAAAAGAGGGAGGAAAGTGAAGCCCCTCAGGCTGGACTTATTGATTATATTGTCAGACACATATTTTTGAAGAGTCCCTGGTAAACTTCAGAACAAGGATAGTAAGACATACTGTATGTTCTTTGGACTTCTCTCTCTCTCTCTTTTTCTCTGCTAAACACCTAATTCTCACAGAGCTACTTAATGTCTGCATATAATTACCCATGTAGTGTGGCTGTAGTGTTCTTATTTATTCTTATCTTCTTTATCCATACATTTGGCATTATTGTTATTGTTATTCTGTTGCTTTGCATGTACACTGAGAGTTTCTGTACTGGAGACAGATTCGTTGTGTGTCTAATCATACTTGGCCAAATAAAGTATTCAGTTCAATTTCCCTTTGTCCCTCCCTCCCTCCCTCCCTCCCTCTCTCTCTTTCTTTCTTTCTCCCCCAAATACTCTGTTATAAAAATATCCCAATAAAAGAGGAACATAGACAACCCACAAACAATAAATCTTACTTTACTCTACTCTACTCTACTCTACTCTACTCTATACTCTTTATTCTAATATCTATATTGGAAGATCTATATCTAAGATCAGAGGTTTATTTCATGAGCAATTTGGAACATGAAAAGCCATCATAACATTACTTATATCAATAAAACCCATTGCAGTGAGGTCCAGAGACAGTAGCTAACTCCAGAAAGGATAGCTACTATCAGTGGCCATGATTTGAGATTTACTCCCTTCTTTGATACCCTTCTTCTGAAGTCCACCCAGTAGTATGTAATCTTACTGGTTGTACTTCCTTGTCCCCTCATACTAACTGTCAGTTAACACCCACTTGTACGTATATGGAAACTCATTAACCATCTTTCAGTTCCCTTTTTTTCCTCAGTGTCTCAGATATTCGTGATCCAAAATCTCTGAAATAGATTGTCTTGCAATTCTGTGTTTTTGAAGAAGCTACAGTTAGCAAAGATTTCGCTAGGCTTGCAAAATCAGCTCAGCCTGTGCATTAATATATCATTAATTTGAGGCCTTCAATTAGGCAGAGGCCTACACTGGCTCTTTAAAGATTGGTTGTCCTTTTCTCACATTAGTAACTCGGTTGTTAAGTAAATCGGCTGGTTTCCCCATTGACTTTGCTTGTCAAAAGGTAATCACATGATCTTGGGACCCAGGGACGGTCGTAAGTATGGGCAAATTGCCAAGCATCTGAATTTTGAACACATAGAATAGAATAGAATAGAATAGAATAGAATAGAATAGAATAGAATAGAATAGAATAGAACAGAACAGAACAGAATGCAGAATAGAATAGAAAATAGAACAGAATAGAATAGTAAATAGAATGGAATTGAATGGAATGGAATAGATATTGAAATGTAGAATAGAATAGAATAGGGTTAGGATTAGGATTAGGATTAGGATTAGAATAGAATAGAATAGAATAGAATAGAATAGAATAGAATAGAATAGAATAGAATAGAATAGAAATAGTATACAATAGAACAGAATATAGAATAGAATAGAATATAGAATAGAATAGATATTGGAATAAAGAGTAGAGTAGAGTAGAGTAGAGTAGAATAACAACTTTATTGTTACTTTGAATGTACATTAATCAGCATACATTAAAATTAAATTTCATTGCACATAGCTCTCAAAGGGTTCACATGATCGTGGGCCTGCTTGCTACAAAGGTTGTAAGTGTGAAAAATGGTCACTTTTTCCCATGCCGTTGTAACTTTGAACAGTCATTAAAGGAACTGCTGTAAGTGGAGGACTACCTGTACTCTAGAAAAGCTTGCTACGTTTTGCTGTACGTTCTACGTTTGTTTTTTATGCTGCTTAAGCTGCTGACTTTTATTGAGACGACCTAAACTCTCCCTGCCTTTGCTTATCTATGTTCTAACAAACAGACTTCTCATTTCTCCAGTGAAAGGAGTGACAGTAGCTGAAGTTATCTGGATGAAAGGGCCAGTCGGAAGATGCTTTAGTAGTTGTCTATACTAGGAAACCTCATCACAGTGGGCCACAATAATTGGGAATTCTGCATCTTGCAATCCATCAGGAGAATAAGATAAGACTGTTTGCGTAATGAGTTATTTGATCTCAGCGGATTAATGGGTCTATAAGAAAATGCATCCTCCCCCCCCCCCCCCCCCCCCCCGGGCCTCGAATTCTTGGCATTATTCTCCAAAATATTTCACAGCAAATGTGATAAAAAAACAACAACCCCAGAAAGATGGCACCAACAAAAGAGAGATGGGTGAACTATCAGCTGTTACCTCTCTGTTAAGCGAAGGAAATAGACAGGTTGAATTTCATTTCTTGATCTTGCCACAAAGCAGATCCCCACGTGCAAAATTCTCCAGCCATTCCTTGATGATTATTATTTTTTTAACATGCTGTGCCTTGATAAGAAAATGGCTTTTCCAGGCAGCCTGTGACCTGAGGTCAGCCCGAGATATGAAATCCTGGTTCTTTCAGACTACTTCATGGCACATTCAAGTTAGAAAACTGGAGTGATGAGAGAGTCCCAAGATTAAGACAGCCGCATAACTCATTTGTTTTTATTTGGTTTAATCTTCGTTTTATTACAAAGATCTTAGGCTGCCTGAGTCGTAAGAGAAAATGTTGTTTTGTACAGTGCATCTGTTCAGATCCCAGGGAGAAATGCCTCTCTCTATGCATCCCTCAGCTAAGTAAGAAAAGAAGGAAAGGGACCGTGGATTTCGTTTAAAAACAACTGAAAAGTGAAACTTTCTAGGGAGCCAATATGTTGGACTACAC